TTTGTTTAAGCGTCAGTTAGAAGCCATCGACTAACCTACTGCTATATAAAAACCCATAAAGTGCCAAAGTTTTCTCAAATCTATTCACAGCTACATTAGCTACAAATAAAATCCATGCCTCTTGCAAGAAGACTTACATGGAAAATAAAGGACACCTTCTTCCTGTTGAAGCATGGAGACACATTCAGAATTATAGCCTTAGTTCTGCAACCGGATCCTATAGAGCAACCGATCATTCCTACAAAATGAGTATCGTCAATAGTAAAAAAACACAAGATCTCTTCTTGTGAATGAAAACATGTTCCTAAGTTTGGTAGACTTTCCGTCTCTGTTTTGAGTGGATCACTCAACCCAAATTTTCTCATTCGTAATTTTTACATCACTGTATTTTATTATATTTTCAATAACTGAAACGCTAATTTTTAAATTTTTTTTGCACATGTGATTGGTCAGGTTATAGACTTGGGAGTGCTTGAAACTATCCAAGTCGCTGTGAAGTTTACACCTCGCGACATCAAGTAATTTTTTTATCTCACGTTTATTATTTTGAGTGATCCTTCAAGTTCATATTAATTCAATACTTATTCTATTTTTAATAATAGTGACTCTCGTGTTTCCTGCTGTGTGAGATCCTCTATGAGGGTTGCAGTAAAGAAGAAGAAAGAAAAGCCATATACCTAATCAAGTTTGTAAGGATCGGGAGATTTAAAGGTATAAACTTTTCTTATCTATTAAATTAAAAAAAATTAAAAGATAATATTATTTTCAAGTGGATGTTAATTGTATTATAATATACTTACCTATATATTCGCTGGAGGTGAACTCCAAATCACCAATGCATTTGAGGCATCACAACTCTTGATTAATCCTGCAATTTCAGAGACTGATGCCTTCAAAAAATGTGATGTTTCATTCATCTTTAAGATTTTATCTTCGGTCTATATAGGTATTTTCTTGAACATGATTTCATTATGTTGTTTATACACATATTAATAAACTAATCATGCTGTATTTATATGGAAATTAGGATTTATAATAACGTGAAAGAAGACAAAGTATCTGGAAATAACTTATCTTTTATTTTAAATTCATGTTTTCTTTATAGAATAATGAAATCCATAATCTTCGTATTTTGAATATTAATATTTTATCTGAGGGTATGTTATTCCTGAAAGTAACAAAAAAAATTCACCATTTTTAAGACACTTAAACACAGATACTAGAGCTGTAATTAATAACTTTAACAGTAAATAGAAAATGTCAAAAGAATCTTAGGCTTTCTTGCCGCTGTTATTTGGCTTTTGTTATTAAGATTTTTTTTGAATCAATTTTACAACAATTAGATTTTTATTAACTATGGATCAAAAAGAAAGATGCGAAATCAAATTGACCTTTTTGTGGTCTTTCAAATCTTCTTAGGAATTTGTCAAAGAGACCTGAAAAGGTGAAGTTCTTCAACCATCTCAAACTCATCGTGTTTTTCACGGACGCCTTCAGATCCAACATGCATAACAAGTTAAAAAAAAAAAACAAGTAAGATTTTCTTTTTAGATTTTTATATCTGCTAAAAGAAAAATAGAGAAAATCACCTAAATAGATTGGAAAAGGTGAAGTACTTTGATTTGCTGCCATCGATTTGCACCTCTTCAAGCAGTCGTTTCCATCTTTACCACCACAAGTAAGCCGCGGCCGTTCGTATCATGAGTGCTCTAGCTTCAATTAAAGTTTGGCCATGGAAATCATCTTTCGATAAAGAAACATCGAGACATAAAATTTTTTCTTTCCTTTTCTGTTTTTTTTTTTAAAAAAAAGTGATTGGTCATCGACCACACAATTTTGTCATCGGTTCAGATGTTTTTACTTTGGGCCATTCGGGCCGGGATTTTTGTATTACAAGTTCTTATTTCTATGTGCAATTCGGGCCCATTATAAATATTGTGTTTATATTAACAAACATGATTAAACATATGATTATTAGTTTTTACTTTTTAAATCTATGTTTAGACATTCCTAAAATATCTTAATATCATAATGAAACACGTAAATATTTATTTAGAGCTTAGTACAAATGTATGTTAACAACAAAAATTGTTTATAAAATAACTTTAGCATAATAGAGAATATGTATTTATGCATAATAATANTTTTACTTTTTAAATCTATGTTTAGACATTCCTAAAATATCTTAATATCATAATGAAACACGTAAATATTTATTTAGAGCTTAGTACAAATGTATGTTAACAACAAAAATTGTTTATAAAATAACTTTAGCATAATAGAGAATATGTATTTATGCATAATAATATTTTTCACCTAAAATAAAGAATTACAACACATATAAAATACAATTCTAATTAGTGATAATAGAAAATATGTTACTTATAAAAAACTACATACTATTAATTTCAGATTTGGAAAATAAAATTCAACCTTCAACACACAAATTTTTTGTGATTCTTCAATTATAAATACACACAATAACTACATATTGATACTGAAGTTACTTTGTTTCATCTTCTCCATGTAAAATATTGTGTATCAGCATTTTTCTGTGTCTGATGCTTTACCTCAAAGACGGTGGTCTTATGATATAAAATCTATTACTTCTAAAACTTTGTATTATTAAGTCCATAATTTGAATCTGTATATAACCGCACAGGGTGCGGGCCGGTCACCTAGTTATAAAAATTTTGGTGGTCATACAGCCTAATTTCCCCAACAAAATTGTTATCTCTCTCTGAGTGATACTAGAGAAAAAGGAGAAAAAGGCACATGTGCTTGCTTGTAATTGGTAATTTATTATTAACTAGAGTTAAAATTTAACACTCGCATATCCCACATGAGAAGTCAGATTCTACAACAAGCTTAAAAGTAAAAACATGCTACAGTAATAAGACAATTGGACCTTTTTGAGTTAAATCTTACACAGAAAACATTGCTTCATTTCATTTCATTTCGTCTTGGGTACTTGCAAAAGTTCAAATAGACACACTCAGGTACAGTTTCATTTCGTCTCGTGCCTCACCTTGGAGTAGAACTCAAGGACACAACTTTTGTCTCCTTCCCAAATCAGCTTGACAATGATGGATTTACTTATCTCCACATAGTTAGCTTTGAAGAAGTCATTCAACCTCCTATTAATCTTATTCTATCACCACCACTCCTCTCAGGCCGCAGATCCGTAAACCACTTCACACCGTTTTTATCCAACATGATCATTTTAGTTTCCTTATTGATGCCATTCATCCTCGTGATGTTTACCGGAAGAAACTGCAACAAAAATTCGGAAAAAAAAATGATTCAAGACTTTGATATAATGTAAAAAGACAAATGGATTGGTGATGAAACTGACCAGTCTGGAGTTCTTAACGTCCGTAGATTTGAGAGTTAATGTCAAAAATAGTTCTGTTTTCTTTTATTGTTACATTTTAAGGCTTTCTATTTTAATGTAATCAAGATTTATTTACTTTTTAAAATTATTACAGGCTGCAACAAATTCCTATATTATCAAAAGGTTCATTGTTATAAATCAGTTTTCAGTGATAACAAGCCACACAATAATTTATCATCTAATTAGGTATGCAAATCAATAACAAACTAAGTAAATATATCTTTCTTAATAAATTTAAAAGAGAAATCATCTTTTTTTATGTCAAAAATAGAAATCATCTATATGTTATTTATGAAGTAACTTTAACTAAAAGTAAGATGGCTTATTAATTTTTCTTTTTGTTATCAAAAAATTAATATTAATTACTAACTAGGTCGGAGCCTAGAAGCTCCGTTCAGGAAAAATAACAAAATTCTCATTTCTCTCTGAATGATAGAGAGAAGAGAGAAAAAATACTTGTGCTTGCTTGCTTGTAATTGGTAATTTATTATTAACTAAAGTTAAAATTTAACGCTCACATATCCTATATCAGAAATAAGATCCTACAACAAACTTAAAAGTAAAAGCATACTATAGTAATAAGACAATTGGAACGTTTTGAGTTAAATCTTACAGAGAAAACATTACTTCATTTCATTTCCTTTCATCTTGGGTACTTGCAAAAGTTCAAAAATACACACTCAGATACAATTTCATTTGGTCTCTTGCCTCACCTTGGAGTAGAACTCAAGGACACAACTTTTGTCTCCTTCCCAAATCAGCTTGACAATGATGGATTCACCTATCTCCACACAGTTAGCTTTGAAGAAGTCTTTCCAACCTCCTATTAATCTTATTCTATCACCACCACTCGTCTCAGACCGTAGATCCGTAAACCACTTCACACCGCTTTTATCCAACATGATCATTTTAGTTTCCTTATTGATGCTATGCATCCTTGTGAAGTTAACCGGAAGAAACTGCAACAAAGATTCAAAAAAGAAAACGATTCAAGACACTGATAAAATGTAAAAAGACAAATGGATTGGTGATGAAACGGACCAGTCTGGAGTTCTTAACGCCCGTAGATTTGAGAGTTAATGTCAAAATAGTTCTTTTTTCTTATATTGCTACATTTTTTGGCTTTCTATTTTAATTTAGTCAAGATTTATTTACTTTTTAAAATTATTACATGCTGCAATAAATTGATATATTATAAAAAGGTTCATTGTTATAAATCAGTTTTCAATGATAACAAGACACAATATTTTATCATAATTAGGTACTAGATCATGACCCTTGCAGATGTGCGGGTTTTTTTTTTCCGGATGTGCTCTGTATAATTTAGTTTTATATAGTTTTGAGTTTGTCGAGTTCGATTTTATGTTTAAAGAACAATATCAAAAGGATATTTTGTATTAATAGCGTCAAACAGTGTATTATGTATATGTAATCGTGCAGTGAAAACACTAATTCAGTACGTTTGTTCGAAGTGCAAAATCAAATTCAATGTTAACTATTTGCATTAAAAAATAATTTGAGAGTTTAACTAATTCTAATGTTAATAATTATCCAAAAATTTAAAATAATATACAAATTTCTAGAATTTTTGGTCTTCACCTTTATTTTATAGGTTAAGCCAAATTCAAAGTTGCTTTGGTCTTAACTTTGCAAGCACATATATTTTATGATGAAAAAATCATAAATAATTTAACAAATATTTTTGTAATTTGAAAGAATTTATGTATTTAAATTAGTTATTCATTTAAATCAGTATTCTTAAATTTAAACAGGACCGCAGTTAAACCGGTGATCCGATAATTCAATTTTGATTTTTAAAAATATCCATATTTAAAAAAATCACTAAAACCCGAGACTAACCGATTAACTGATATTTAATATTTAAACCTGTAAAATAAGTTTATTTTCCTTGTTTTATAAATTATTTGATATTTTTAATTTATCTAAATAATTTGAAAGAAAATGGTGAAAATATTAAAAAGGGTGAGATCTAATATTTTGTATTGTTTAGACATAAGATTAATGATAGTGTTGTTTGGAAACATGGATAGTAGTATAATGAAATAAGTATATTGTTTGGAAACATAGATAGTGGTATAAAGAAATAAATATATTGTTTGGAAACATGGATAGTAGTATAAAGAAATGAATATTAGTGATTTAAGGTATGTTTAACTATAAAGTAAAAATATGTATTTAATTTAAAAACTTACAAAAAAATAAATGTTAAGTACAACCTATTTTTTATGTTTTAAGAAGACAGATGCAAATCAGTAAATATATCTTTCTTAATAAATTTAAAAGAGAAATCATCTTTTTTTTTTGTTAAAGATATAAATCATCTATATCTTATTTATGAAGTATCTTTAACTAAAAGTAAGATGGCTAATTAAGTTTTCTTTTTGTTATCTAAAAATTATTATTAGTTACTAACTTGGTCGGAGCTTGGAAAATCAGTCCCGGGAAAATAACAAAATTCTCATTTCTCCCTCTCATTTGTGCTTGCTTGTAATTGGTAATTTATTATTAACTAAAGTTAAAATTTAACACTCTCATATCCCAAATCAGAAGTCAGAGATCCTACAACAAACTTAAAAGTAAAAACATGCTGCAGTAATAAGACAATTGGATTTTGGAGTTAAATCTTACACAGTAAACATTGTTTCATTTCTTTTCACTTGGGTACTTGCAAAAGTTCAAAGAGACACACTCAGATACAGTTTCATTTGATATCTTGCCCCACCTTGGAGTAGAACTCAAGGACACAACTTTTGTCTCCTTCCCAAATCAGCTTGACAATAATGGATTCACCTATCTCCACACAGTTAGCTTTGAAGAAGTATTTCCAACCTCCTATTAATCTTATTCTGTCACCACCACTCGTCTCAGACCTCAGATCCGTAGACCACTTCACACCGTTTTTATCCAGCATGATCATTTTAGTTTCCTTGTTGATACCATGCATCCTCGTGAAGTTTACCGGAAGAAACTGTTACAAAGATTAAAAACAAAAGGATTCAAGACCCTGTCAGAATGTAATAAAAACAATGAATTGTTGATGACACTGACTAGTCTGGAGTTTTTAACGTCCGTAGATTTGAGAGTTAATGTCAAAAATAGGTTTTGAGATGGTGACGATGTGGAGGCTTTCCATAAGTTCCTAGAAATTTTTTGAGATGGTGAAGATGTAGAGGCTTTCCATAGGAATCTAGGCTTCTTGAAGCTTTTCTCATCTTGGTTGCTCTTTTCTAAGCAATCTTCTTGTGTAAACTCTGTGGAGGAGGGGGACTTGAGTAGAACCAAAGATTTTCCTCTTTTGATCAGTTTGAAAGCAAAGAAACTTCCAGCTCTAAGTCCACTGGCACTACAGAAGTTGTTCCACCCTCCTGTGACAGACATAGTTCCACATGATTTCTTTCGTTGCAAATTTAAAGTCCATGACCTACCCTTTTCATTTATCAGAACAATCTCTCCACATCTTGTCTCTAGACCATTTTCCCTCACAAAACGGTTTGGAAGAGTCTGGAAATTTATTACAACAGAACATGGTTTTGATCAAATTCAGACACTACAATAAGAGTTTCTTTTTGGTTCAGATTAGGAGTAGAGTATACCAGTCTGTTATCTCGGAGGCTTGAAGGCCTAACATAATTCACAAAACAAAAGGGATCTAGCGAAGAAGACTTTACATATCTTTGTGGATTCTTCTTCACTTTTTTCTTGCTTTGAATCTTCCCTGAAAAGGCAAGAATAAAAATTCAACTGGTTACAGATCAAGCTGGTTCTCTCTGTTTCCAGATCCGCATTCTAAAATCACTACATCATCTTAAATGTCAGTTTCAAAGACAGAGTTACACAGAATACAACTCACTGAGTTTGTTCTTATCTTTTAAACACGGCCGCCCATACTGAATCTCACAAAAACTGGGTCCGAACAGTGTAACGTGGAAAGCCATGTCTTTCTCTTGTCTGAAAATGACAATGTCACCAACTCGTAGATCATGTGCGAGAGCAAACGCTTTCCAACCATCAGTGAGTTTCCGGCCATCTTCTATCTTAACTTTCCAGGCTATATCCGACACGTCTGATCTTAGCCTCACCCTAGTCTCATTTCTTCCTTCAACATGCTTGGAGCAGAAGGCTAGAGGAATGGTCTGAAGCAACATGCATATACAATATCAGAACCGTCTTTCTAAGTTAGCTTCTCAAAAAAAGATTTAAAAGAAAGAAGAGAGACTGATTACCAAGTGGCTGTGGAAGCCAGGAAGAAGAGGCTGAAAGAAATGTTGGTCCACCATGTCTTACCCTCTGGCTCTACACTGCAATCTCGTGGTGGAAAGTGTGAGAAACACAACATTTCACCAAGCTCAGAGAGTCTTGAATGAATTTTGTGTCAAGACATTTTTTTTCCTGTAACTGGAGACGGTTAGTAACATATATTTATTGCTGAGCTATTTGTTTCATGTTTTCTGTATATTCATTTAAGGGCTTAGATTCAGAGGAAGACACGTGCACTCCTACAGTTCTACATGCGTTTCGATAAACTCAAATAATCCACAAGAGGATTAATTTCCCTAGAATAGTTTCCTTGAAATATATATTCTTTCAATTAATTTTGAGCTAAAAATGAGTAAGATGTTCAATAAACGTAAAAAGTTCAACTTATTTACCAAATTTAACCAGCTAAATCCAGATATAAACCTATGTAAAAATCCAGTCCAGATCCATTTTAAAATTTAATTTCAAAAGTTATACTGGTTATAAAGTTATACTAGTGTAGATATACATTTGAACTATTTGTACAATGTTGGGTAATTCCAAGCTTGTGGAAACTTAACATATTATTGGATGTTTAATATGTTAAGAGATAAACACAATAAGGAAATCTAGAAATAGGAAAAGGAAGTTTTCTATTAGATTAGGTTTGTGTTTTCCATATCCCACATGTTCAAGGGAATTATCTTGCATATAAATAGAGATCTATGGAGAGGTGTTCCATAAGATCTAAGAGAGTAGATTTAAGATGATCTAAGAGAAACATTGTGAGCTTTAGTTTTGAGTAGTTTCTAAAGCTAATAAGAAAAGTTGTTCTTATAATCCTTTGTTTCTAGAGATTTGAATTGGTATCAGAGCTCCTCAAGTTGGAGACTCGATCTAAGCTTAAGTTGAAGCTTTGATCCTGGTGCTTGTGACCAAGAGTACACGCGAGCAAGATGGCAGACGTGACTAGGGCTCCACGCACGAAGGACCTTGGAACTACATCCATCCAATGTCCTATGTTATCATCATCAAACTATACCGTTTGGTCGATGAGGATGAAGGTTTTACTTCGTGTTCATGAAGTATGGGACGCGATTGAACCTGGTTTGGATGA